AGAAAATAAAAAAAAAATAGATAAGAATTAAAATAAAAAATTAATGTTGATCCACAAAAAACAAATAGAACATAAAAATAAAGAAATGATAAAAAAAACTTATTTGTTTATTATAAAATAAATATTATAAATTGAATTTTGCACATGTCCTGATTAATGAGAGTGAAAATGAAATAGTAAAAATAAGTTTCGGTATTTGGTATGTAAGAAATGAGAGGAGGAAAATTACAAATAAATAAATAAATAAATAAATAAATTCACGATTGATTAAAACATATTTGTAGTGTTATAATTTATTGTGCTAATAAAAAATTGTATAATTTTTTTATTTATTTCTCTTTTCTCTATTTTTACTACATCTAACAACTAAACTTTTATTTTATTTCTTATCTTCTATTCATTTATATCTCTCTTTTATATTTCTCTCTACTTATTTCTACATATGTTTTCCTCACTACCAAATAGAACTTTCATTTTCATTGTATTTGGTTGAGAGGAAACAATTAGATGAAGTAAACAAAAATAAGCAATAAATGAAAGGAAGTAAACAAATATATTAGAAATTAAGGTTATTTAGTTGAATAAAATAAAATAAAATAAAATAATGAAAAAATAAAAAAATGTAACAACTTTTTATATAAAAAATTGAATTATTATCAACTTCTATATATAAAACACAAATATTTATCTTATACATAAGATTTATTAGAAACACTTTTTCGATGAGAGAATATTTAGAGATTCTTATAACTTTATATATAATTCAATTTTTATTTATTATAATTATTCATAAATTAAATTTTAGTATTTTAAAATAAATTATTAACAAATAAAAATAATATTGTGCTACAATATAAATTATTTATTATAAATTTAAAATATAATATGTATATTTAAAAATATTTATTTATTCAAATTTTATATATAACTTATATATTCAAACATAATATTTATTTATATATATAATTTATTTTAATTTTTAGTTATATAATAAATATTTAATATACACATTTCACATGTTAAAATACTAGTTATAAATTAAATTTTATATATATTATTGGCATTGAACTAACTAATTCGTTTTCTTTTATATTTAGTTCACTTAACCAATTATATTAGTAATATAATTACTTATGTGAACATGTGTGTGTGTGTTTTTTTTTAATATGCATGTTCATATAATATATTATGTATTAAAAAAATAATTGATTATATGAACCCCAAGGAGTAGCATATAATCATGGACAAACCTAGCTTAAGGATTACGAAAGGTTCCTTACTCTTTTTTTTTATATATAATTCTAAGAATTTATATATACAATATATTTTTTATTATATTAATTATTCTTATTTAGATAAATTATGTTACTATTATTGTAAATGATACCTCGAGAATAACGTAATCTATTTTAACTTAATGAATTTTTAAGACATGATTATGATATTTTCCAAAACAAATTATTATAAAAGTACATATCAATACTTTTCATAAAATTTATCTGTGACTTATGAAGCTGATATTTGATATTTGTAATATGAGATAATAAGAATATTTAGTTAAGCTGTATTGTTGGATGTAATGCATACAGGGTCCATATGATATGATACATAATTCATAATATTTTTTTGATACTAAGAAACAGAGGAAGGCCACATAGTGATTCATACTACATGGTTGTGGTGAGAATTAAAAATATAGCCTACAACAAAAGAGATTAAATGAATCTCACAAACTTTCCACCAAAGCATCTTATCCTGCAGAGCTCGTATTTAGGGTAATAAATGCAATACTAGCTGAAGTTTTTTATTATTTTTTTATTTGTTTTATTTTTATAAATTTATTTTTTAATTTTTTTTAAAGATAGTTGATAATTATTTTTATAAATATTTTACTTTTAAAATGATAAAAGTGCAACAGCAACTAGATTCTCTGCAAACAATGGAAAACTACAGTATTAGAGGATGAAGGACGCAGCTCAGTTTAGAATCATGCTTCCCCTTTCACCAAATTATTCCACACTGGATATTTCTCAACTCTCAAGCGACATTAATATAATAATAATATTTAAATATTACACAAACTTAATATCATAATTTTGTAAAATTATAATAAAATATTTTATATATTTTTATTTTTTTAATGTGTATGTAAAAGTCTAAATATAATATTTAAGTTTAAATTTTAATAAAATATAAAATTTAAATAATATAAAATATTAATATCTGGATATAAAAATTATAAATTAATATAAATGATTACATTATATCATTATAAGAAAATTATTAAAAATTATAAATAATAAAATTTATAATTTTTTATTTAATATA